ATTTGGCAGAGTTTTTCATAACCTCAAATTGTTCCCTGAGTCATCTCATCCCTCCCAGCCTGGGGCATGATGAGCATGCAACGCAGCAGACAAATCCCAACTTAAACAGAGATAAATTATTAAATAGCATTTCTATAGGAGACCATTTTCCGAGAGTGCTTCCAAATGATATAAATCACTTATTCTAACAGCACTTTCCCCCCCTGCCAGTTTCTGGTTCCTCCGCATGTGTTCATGTGGCCATAACACAATACTGCATTCAGATGGGTTCAAAATCCCCATTTTTCAGCTCCTACAGCAGGTAACACTAATTATGAAAAGAATTGATTTGGCATCTACATTTAACACATCTCTAAGCATAAAACTTAATTATCTTATCTGGGGATACTTGGCATTTATTAATAAATGCAATACAATTTACAATACATCATTCTGGACATGTCTCAGTCTCCCTTTAAGAAAAATTTACCTATTTCAATCTTGTAAATTCTGCTTTATCTCCCAATGTCACCCAGCAGAATTGAGAGAGTAGTAAGAAATGGAGTAGGGAGCTCATAAGAACAAATTGGATTTCTAATTTAAAACTGGAATCAAACCCATTATTCAGTGCTATATTATTTTATTCTTTTGGAGAAGGGCAAAACCTTTCAGCTTCTAAGTTATATATAGTTTTCCACTTCCCCTCCCTACTGACAAATGGATTAGTTGAGGCAATTTCTCTCCATTAAAGGTTTTGCACCTGACACTGTAATGCAGCCACTGCTCAGTTACCCTTCAGGGGAGCCCTTTTTAATCCAAGGGAACAGAAGGATTTGCATTTGTCACTTCAGCTGGGCACAGCCCTCATTGCTCCCTTCCCTTGGCCCATCTGATCCTGCTCAGCCAAGGAAGCAAAACGTCCTTGGGGATTTTTTTGGTTAGTAAATGTTAATTTACAAATTTATGCAAAAAAAAAAAAAAATTACAAAGGCTTTTCAGGTAGAAATAAAAACAAAGAAAAATAAATTTATTTTGAGGACAAATTAAGGAAAATTCAAATTAAATCGTAATGATAGAGTAAGGGACATGAAATGTGGACAGCTAAGCAGGAAAGAGGTGCAATCCATTTACTTTGCCCCAAAAGATCTGACTACACCTTGTCTATTTTCTCCACAAAGAGACCTATCCAAATATTCTCCAGATTCTTCCAAAGGGCAGGCCACCTTAAGAGCTGACAAATGCCTTTGTCTCTCACTGAAATCCAAACTCCCAACTCTCACTGCCCACAGAGCTGGCTCCTGGCTCTGTCTCCGCCAGGGGAATCTCATTCCCCTTGACATGGGGGTTTATATTCAATAACCATGTCAAGTTTGAATTCTATCTTTGCATTAAATTTGATTTTGTGTGATATTTATTAAATCACTGGATAAATTGCCCACACAGTACAATAAGCAGGATTATGCCCTTCATCCCTCAAACCAAACAGATTACAGCATTGATTTAGATGAAGTAATAAGGGGAACAAGTTTCGCACCCCCTGAAATGACTCGTGTGGGAGTGCAGTTATTGTAGGAGATGTCACTCCTATCCCACACTGCTCTGTTGTTTACCAGGGCTGCTCTAAGATAAGTAAAAGCAGGTATAAAAGGCATTGTAGGAGAAAAAAAAAATGCAAATCTGTTACAGTAATTTCATCTACATGGCAGAAAGGAAATACACATTTAAAACACTTGAAGCTTCTCTGGTATGTGCAGGGAACTGGGACGGGAACAAGAAAATTTCTTAGAAGAAAATTGCACACTCAGTTATTTTCTAATCATATTAATAGCTCTCCTTTGTACCTATTGCAGCTTGAAGTGGTTTCTTTTAAAAGACCACAATCAGGATGGTGAATAAAGTTCAGCTGAGTTCATCACAATGTAGATAATAAATTTACAGTGGCAGAATTATCCTGATGCCAAACACATTGTGCTATTTAATGCCGAGTTGGTAAAGATCAAATTTTTTTGACAATGAAGGCACAGGACAACCAAATGGCAGATAAAGGGCACAAACACTGTAATTATTCACTGCTGCATCACCAACTTTTGGTGAAGTGCATGGGAATTGCAGTCCTGGGCAGGGCTGAGATGTGCAAAGCCCTTTAGAGGGCACAAAAATCCCTCAGAACAGAATTAAAAACCCCCAGCACTGGCTGCACCCACAGCTGGACCAGCCCCATGAGATGGAACCTCAGATGGGCTTGAGGTGGAAATGCACAATTGTGCCAGAGAGGAGCTTTGGACAGATGAGCCAGCAGGACACAGATCCAGGGAAATGCTGGCACAAGCAGTGCAGTCCTGGGGGTTAGAGACAGTTTTAAACACTCACAGGCCTAATTTTGAGCTCTGCCTTACTGAAAAAGGTCCAAACCTTTACATCCAATCTCCCAGGAGAGGCCACTCTCTCCCTCTCACCGACACAGAGAAAATAGAAGATACATTTAGTCCAAAACAAAAAATAAAACAGCAGCAGTGGAATTTAAGCTCTGCACCCTATGAACTCCATGTTTAATTCTTTGCTACCAAGACTTGGACCTCTGAAACCCCAAGGTGCAGCCTAAACCCTGCGTTCTCATCCTCCTGTGTTGGGAATCTCAGCTACCAACTGGGTACAACTCAGTGGAAGTCCTGGGTCAGGGAGACTTAATTCTATTAATTGGCAGCATCACAACTGAGCAAGAAGGGATTGCCAAATGCTTTGAGTCCTCTTCAGTCAATGAAACTTTAAATGCTAAATATTTATAGTGGGAGTAATTTTTTTAATATTAAAATGTAAAATGGAAGTTACACCTTGGACTTCTGAAATAAGATTTGCAGCCTCAAGAAGAGCAAAACAGGAGAGTTCCAGTAAGTTATTAGTGATTAGATCTCTCATTAAAAGGCACTCCTAGCAGGAAACAATCCATGGAAATAGCCCAAAGGTCAACCAGACCCTCTGTGCTGAGACACCCATACTGTGATGGGATAACTGCAGTCTTTCATTATGGAACATTCATCCAGCCTTTTCCAAACCTCTCCTAGTTTAAATTATCCCCATGTGAAAATAAAGTCTTTTATATCAATAGCAATAAGCCACAAGTCTTGATAATGATGACAGTCAGACAGACAGCAAGCCATAAATACTGAAAACAGCAAAACATTTTAGGAACAACAGAGAAAACAAACAAGGCCCAAAGCCCAGATTTTTCCAGGAATTGACCCTGAATCTCCAGGCAATCAGCAGCAGCACAATGAACAGGATGGGTGATGAGCTGATGGCTGAAGATAACATTTCATTTATTCAAGCACACTGCAGTGGTTTCCTTTCTCCCCATTTCCCTCAGGAACTGCCCAAGGGCTGCTCTGATTTTGACCCCAGCCCTGTCACAGAACCCCTGGCACTTCATTTTAAGTAAATTGAAAGTAAAATGAAATATTAGCACCAAACACTAATAGATAGACACTAATAGATAACTCTATGAGTCAATTACAAAAGAAACACCTCCAAGGAAATTTCATCCATAAAGATTTCTGAGGAACAAATAAGATAATTTCCAAGTGATAAACTTCACCGTTGTTATATTCTTTTGCTAATTGCTTCTGCTTTCTTGTAAATTGTTTTGATTTTTCAATTTCAATTAGTAGCCTCAGCAAGGTGTGAACTCAGACAACCTTGCTATTCTGTTTTTCTGCTCCAACAAGAACATTTCCACATTTTTATTTTGAGAATGCTACTCAGATTAATTACTGGGTTATTTATCTGGAAGGCTGATGGAAGTGATATTTTTTCCCCATATTGACACTGTGAAGTGGTGTAAGCCCATTGAAATGGAAGGAGTGGAGCCTATTTCTACCAGCTGAGAATCTATCTGTGGGAAGCAAAGCAAAATTTTCCCTCTGGGCTCTATCTTTATTGGTAACTCAAACTAGTATCTAAAATCTATACTGTGAGAGAAATATTCCCTAGGAACTTTTCATTGAAAAGATCTGCTCCTTCTGCTCAAAGATTCCTCTCCTTGTGCCCATCCCAGTTAACGCCAACAAACCACACTCAGCTCGATCAATCTCAGAAAATAAATGTAGCATATCTTGGCATTAATGGTATGGATCAATAGAAGAAGCACATTATAAATCCAAGAAGAAAATAGAAATAAAGCTTAAATACCATTAAAATCCATAATGCTTTTCTTTTACAAGCCATTTATCAGGAACAGTGGGTGTTATAGCCCACATGTCAAATTCTACATGGGAAATTCTACAACACAGTGTGCGCAACTTCAGGAAATCAAAGAAAAAAAAATTAAGTTTAAACATCAACTAGAATTTGAATTATTTTAACTAGAATTTTAATTAATTTCCGCTGTTTAATCTATGAAGATTTGTAAGCAAGTTAAATGGATTTGGAGAGGCAGAAATATTAACAACTCCTGAATTCTCCTACTGAAAGACATGACAACTGTGAGAGCAAATCCTCAACCTTTATCTTCAATGAACTGCCTTTAATGGTATCAGGTAATTTCAACTTTGATCAAAAAAATCAAACCCCTGTGCTGACAAGAACAATTTTTAGCTGTAATAGTGACGAGGGCAGACCACAGCTCTTGGTTTTCAGATGAGTTTAACCACAACTGAGCGCAAGTTTTGTAGCAATCCAGCTCTTCTCACTTTTCAGTTTTACACCAAATCCTTTCAACCCACAAATGAACAGATTTCCACCTTTCTGTATAAATGCACAGGAAAGCACAGTGCTCTGTACTGAACCCTCCTGAACGTTTTTTGATTTTGATATACTGATTTATATTCTAATACCCGCTGTCATATGGGGGTTGGTCTCACGTATTGAGTAGCAATTTCTGAAACACACTCAAAAGTGACACCTCAAACAAGTAAACAATCCACTTTTCATACCCAGACATATCATCCTGTAAACAAGAGAAGACACTTTCACCAAAACAATCTGCAATTTGCATGGAGAACACACAAGATCAGAAGGGCACTTACATGAGATTTTGCCGAGGCCAAGGCAAGAGAGAGCGAGTTCCTCCAGTCAAACGGCACTTCTTGATTTATCTAGAAACCTCTGGCCTGGAAGTTGAGGACAAGATGGAACAATTTTAGTTCTGATAACATTCTTCCTGTGACCTGCGGCTTCAGCTAAGTAATTACAGTGGCCTTGGCAAATATGAGTTAAGCAGTGTTGCCATGCCAACACACGTCCTTCTCCTTTCAAATGTTTTACTGCTCCAGACACTCTGGGCTTGGAACACACTTCCCACCAGGCAGACTCCTATAGGAGTCTGTTTTGGACTTCTTCTATTATAGATTTCTATTCTATTAATTAATTAATTCCATTTATAGACTAGAAATCTATAATAGAAGAAGTCTAATATGGACTCCTATAAAATAGAAATCCATAATATTCTATAATAGATTTCTATCCTATAAATCTTCTATTCTAGCTTTCTATTCTATGAATCTTCTATTATAGATTTCTTTCTATAGAAGAAATTCTGACCTCAAAATTATGTTAAATGCTATGGATTTCACTTCACAGGACCAAGCATAAGCATTAATCATCAACGTATTTCCTCTTCTCATAAATTTTTTTCCTGAGGAAGAAGAGCATGAAGTAGCAGTCATGATCAGCACTGCTGGTATTCAGCAATATAAAATATCCTTGTGTGCTGATATTCCAGCTGGAGAAAGGTCTTTCATTTTTCTGGTCAAAACATATCAATATTGCATAACTGATACTAAAGGAGTTTGTACTCACATATCTTTTTCCGGATTAAAATTGAAAAACATGGAGGTTTTAAATTCTGGATTAAATTTTGTCAGAGTAGCCTTACAGCCAGTTTTAGGAATAAGAGAGAGGGAAACAGCAAGAGTTCAATGCATGTAACCCAAATCTTGTGTAGCAACTTTGGATGTAAAGTGGAATTCCACAGCAAGGAATATCAAGTTTTAGAGCATTTTAATATATGGAAAATGAACCAATGCAGAATTGACCATACCAAAGAAGAAAGCATCAATATCCTAATTGTCAATAGGAGACTACTGATTTTCTGTACCCTGTGCTCATGCCACAGGTGAAGCTGTTGACATCAGGACCTAGAGGGGTCCTGGAGGTACTGGATTATTTTAACTGTGTACAATTTGCACAATCACCATCACACAATTAATGATATTTTTAGAGAGTTAAGATTTCAATTGAGATAATAATAAAATTTCAGCTCCAAGCATGAATTGTGCTTCCTTTTTTTATTCCATTACAGGATTCTGCCTGTGAAATTGATGGAGGATCCCTGCAACACATTCCATAACTTGGATGCTACAAATTGATAGCACCAGCAAAGGCTATTGATTATTAAAAACCCTCTTAGATAAGCAGAAACTCCAAGAACATATTTTACACAATATGCAGTATAATCTGAGCCTGATCTGCATTTTTAGTCCTTTCCTGTGTTTTATTTATTTATTTATAAAATACCAGCAGGATAGAATTACAGCAGCAAAACCAGCATGAGCTGTTGTTTTGGGAAAATGCTACTTCCTGCAGCTGCATTTGCAGTGCTTTTACCAGCACCACAAATCATGAAAGGACCACTTTGAAAACAGCTTTTGCAGTCTAAAAATAGATCCTTCTGGATTAGTATTCACCTATACATGTAAATAAGTCAGTCTGATTTTCAGGCAGGCTTTAAGGGAAATGAGATTAACATAATATGAAAATAATTAAATTATTCACAAGAAGATGCAATTATCATACAATCAGTGCTCGGGAATCCAAATAAATCAGCATCTTCATATTTATATTTAAACAAAGAGATCCATCTGCCAATGATAGAAGATTCAAAGACAATTAATTTATTATAGAACAAAAGACGTTGTTCTGACGATTTGAAAGTCAGGTACAAGGAAAGCAACAGAACTGATAATGACTCTAACGCACGCTTTGATTGCTGGAGATGGAAATTGCACGAGGGAAGCCAAACAGAGCTAAGTGACAGGCTGTTCTACATGCTGGGGCCCATGGGGAGCCAGGCTTGTGGCTGCTGGGAGTGTTTGATCTCAGGTGGGCTCTAAATTAACCCTTCCTGCACAGTGCAGGGCTCTGGCAGCTCTCAGCAGCCCTGTCCTGTGGAGACCTCTGCTTGAAACCACAGATTTCTGTCACCTGCAGGGAAAACAGCATCGCTGTCCTCCACCCAGCTGCTGCTCACTAAACCTGATGGAATCTGATAGATTTAAGGCTGTCGACACTTTTGGGATATTCATCTGTGGACTAAACTGTGAGGGGTGGTTGCAGAAATACACGCGGGTGCCAAAAACGCCAAAATCAACCAACCAACCAAGGAACCATTTCAACCAACCAAGGAACCATTCAACCAACCAAGGAACCACTTGAACCAACTAAGCAAGCAACCAACTAAGCAAGCAAGCAAGCAACCAACCATCCAGCCAATCAACAAACTAAGCACCCACGGCACCATTCAACCAACTAACCAAAGAATTAACCAACTAACCAAGGAACCATTCAACCAACTAACCAACCAAGGAACCAACCAACCAACTAACCAAAGAATCAACCAGCTAACCAGCCAGCCAACGAACCATTCAACCAACTAACCAACCAACCCAGTCAAACCAATTTTTGGCAGAATAACCAGGTTAAAATGTAAAGAGTTACAGGTTTTGGATGCATTAATTAGGTTTGGTAACTGAATAAGACAGTATTCTCCAAGCCTATCCATAGACACTGAATATTTATGAATTATTGAAAGGCAGATGAAGACATCACAAGAGTGACAGTTTGGGGCCTGGAGGCTTTACAGCCAGCCAAGTATGCAATGTACGTTATTCCATTGAGAAGTATGGCCAGTGCCATCTCCACATCACTGAACTGACTGGATTAACACCCCAACAATTCCAACCACCTTTGTTAGATGTAATTCTCACCACCCATGAAAACTGCACATCTACCGGTCAAAACAGTAGATCAAGTTAAACCAATTAGCAAAAATAAATTAAGCCATTAATAAATTAAGTCCACCATGAGTTTTTCTCTGATTTTTTGAATTAGACTTTCTCTTAGCTCTCAGCAGTACCAGTCACCAAGGAAAAGTTAAAAACTTGTGCACATATTTGCAAGACCAGGGCCCACAGAAGCCATCTAGCAATCAGACAGGCCAAGTTTTTCCCTTCTTATTTTAAATTTGAAATGCAAATGTTAATTTTTAGTCCATATTTTCTTTATAATTTCAATCAAAGCTTAAAATATTTGTTGTACCAATAATAAAATAGAATTTATGTCAATTACTGTAGTTTTTCATGGTGTTCTTTAGAAAATATTTAGCTTTTTTTGGTCTCCAACAGTCTGATATTTCCAATGGCAATTTTCCTGACATCTCTGCGTTTCTTTGGGACTGATGTTTGCCCTGAATATTATTAAAACACTTATTAATCAATCCAAAACGCTGAACTAATTCCAGTTAGTGCAAGACAGATGAAAAGAGGCATTTTTCAGGCAACTGGGAGCCAACTCTGGGCACGCAGCTTTTTTCAGCCAGCTGAGTCTGACACCAGGGTATTCCACTGGATTCTCCTGAGAGAGAGAGACCCAGCTGTGCTTCTCCTGCTGCACATCCTGCCAGATGATCCAAAGGCCTGGCAATTCCAGGGAGACTGGAGCCTTCCCTTCTCCTTGACTGTGCAGGGCTAAAACGATGCCAAGCTTGTTCCAGCACAAGGGGTACCTTGTTATTGCCACTTGTTTATTGTTAGGAAACAATTGAGAAGGAATTAGGAATCAGAAAACTCCCATGATTTTTTTTTTTTGGTTTTCTCTTCTTTCCTCTATTCTAAAGGGTGATTAGAAATGAAAAATAAGCAGGGAGTTCTACTGGCTTCACCACCACAGCATTGCTGAACAGAAGGAACAGACTCCATTCTTCCTCCCTAAAATTTTTCTTATTAAACCCACCAGACACAAAGAACATAGAGTCTTTGGTAATCAGGACAATCCCCATCCAAATTTTCAGCCTTCACTTGCTATCTAAAAATAGGTGAGCTTGAGGCCATTCTTTCCAAAGGGTAAACTGATTTTATGCTCCTGTTTCACAGATAAACCGGAGGGGCAACAAATGTTCAGATAAAGTCAAATAAGGAAAAAAAAAATCCTGTCAAAGGAGGATTTCAAATGAAAAGAAATTAAATCAATTCAAACTTTCCATCAGAACCTAAATGAAAGAGCAGCTTTGGAGCGCCTGTTTGAAAAGAAATCCCAGTTTGTTATCAAAGGTTGATCAAAGTGCTGTTGGTGGCAGAGTTTGCTGTCCCCTCAGCCCACAGGGGATCGTGCAGGAGTGAGGGGAGCAGGCTCTGCCTGCCCTGACCTGAGCTCACCTTCACTCACATTCACATTCCTGCACAGGCTGCCCTAGGTGGGCTATTGATTTATGCTGTTCTTGGTGTCCTACACAGAGTTATTCCACCTGCAGGGATCTTTAGGGCTGCAGAAGAGACTGATAGCTCCCTGCCCCATTTTCCCAGGTGAGTTACCAACTCAGTGACTTATTCCCTTCTCTGCTTGGAGATTATTTAAACGTATTTTATACAAATGTAATTGCTGGCTCCAGATATAAAAAACTCAGAAAAATCCACTTGAAATAACTCACAACTTCTTTAACTGGGTAGTGGAATATACATCTAAAAATCCACTCTGCAGCTGGTTCAGAGAGGGGATTTGGAAAAGGATTTTGGTAGACAGTGACTCTGTATTCCCCCTGAGAGCTGGGCTTGGGTGTCTCACATCTTGGTGAGAGCTGCTGATCTCCCAGGGAAATTCTAATAATGCTGTGTCTAAAATAAAAGCTGCTTATCTGAACAATTTTAGAAGTTGTTCAGTGGTTTTGGCCCAGATAGTTTTGAGGCAATGGAAGGTTAGACTTGAATTTGAAATGTTTCTTCTTAGTTTTAGAAAAAAAGACCTTTGAGTTAGTTAGTCACTCTAAAGAATCATATAAGATTATCATAAGGTTATCATAAAGATACAGAACTAGGCAATTTTTCCTAATTCCTTGGAT